AAAGGTTTCTTCATAACCGTCGCATGTCAGGTTGTCATCTTTTAAAGTGTCTGCAAAAAAGTTATTTTTTAAGGAAGCAAATATAAGTACTACATAAAAAATTTTCTATAATCTTACCATAAAGAAATTGGTTAAACAGTTTAAAGTTTTTAACTTTAACTTTTATAAACAGGCAATCCATCGCAGAAGATATCTATTAATAACTTTTCCCCTTCGACATCCACATTTTTCAAATGAATTTGCACGGATTTTTCCAAACCGAAATGAAAATATTCACCGGGTGGCATTGGAACAACACTTATTTCATTTGGTTGGTAACTTTGCAAAAGAGATTTTTTTGTAGATGGTATAGCTAAATTATTTTCTTTCAAAATTCCGAGCAGTTCATTGCACGGTTTCCTTGTTATACGATTCTCTATAGCCCATATGGCCAATTTTTTAGCCAACGGTTCTTCCGTCACAGTTTGGGAACTAACAGCACTTTGGAAAGAACCAATAATTTGGGGTTCAACAGCACCATCGTCACTATTGAAATCACATGCTTTCGCAGGTTTTTCTTCATAAATTGTGTATTTATTTAATTCTGCTTTAACAAGCCGCCTCAAATGGCGCTTTGAAATAAAACTATCAGTCATCTTAAATTTTAATATTTGTTATATATTTTTAATTAAATTAGTCACTTACTTCGCGAGCCAGCAGACACAATTCGGCAATATTTTTTTAACAATGATAGACATTTTTTATTTTTGAATTAAAAAGAAAAAATAACTTGCTCCACAATGAGTAATGTGGGAGTACAGAACGGAGAAATCTTTTATATTGCTCCTGAATCATGAAAACGGGAGTACTCTTTTATTCATCGCTTGGGGAGATCTCCTCTTTTGCTCCACAATGAGTAGCATTGGAGTACAGAACAGAAAAATCTCTCCTATTGCTCCAAAATCATGTCAAAGGGAGTACTCTTCTGTCCATCCCATGAGGAGATCCCACTTCAAGTTCAACCTGGGAGTAATATGGGAGTACACAACGCATAATTCTTTTCTATTGCTCCAGAATCATGTAAACGGGAGTACTCTTTTATTCATCGCTTGGGTAGATCTCCCCTTTTGCTCCACAATGAGTAGCATTAGAGTACAGAATAGAAAAATCTCTCCTATTAATCCAAAATCATGTCAAAGGGAGTACTCTTCTGTTCATCCCTTCAGGAGATCTCACTTCAAGTTCAACTGGGTAGTTTCAATAAACAACTTTGATTAAAAAGCAGATTTTTGACAATTGCTCAATTGTTAAAAATTCGAAGCAGCGTTACCCAATTTAAGTTTTTTGGTAGAGGGGATTTTATATCATAAATTTGGGATTAGGTATAAAATAGTTTTAATAACATTAACTGTTTAAAAGTAATTAAAATCGTATCTTAAAAATGTTTAAATTTTACACTAAATACGATGACCACTTCCCATTTAGGTTAATTAAATTTTAGTGCACATATACATATAATAAGATACATACATATTTCGGTGTGAATTTAATACATATTTAGATGGTTCACAAGGTGTCGTAAGTGTCCTATTGTCGTAAAGTTTTGAACGGCTAAACAAATGTTTAGAGGACTTGAAACCACAACCAAATACTTTTTTAACGGTGTGAAATTTCATAATACGACTTTTATGGTGGCTTGCGAATCCCTTAAATATAGTTTACTGTTCAATATTGGAGCGAGTGTGAAAACAAATTTATGACCACCCATTAGAAAGAGAACGGTCCAAACTTTAAGGCCAGTCACCCTTCACCTCTCTGACCGCTCGGCACCCATTTGAAAATGGGGTAAACTTAGCATTTTGCCAGAAAATGTAAGCTCGGGTTACGGCAACCAAAGAACTTACGCGCAGAATACCTCCGCGTTGGAGGCCTTCGGCCGCGCTTAGAAAAATAACCTTAATCTGCCCAACTCCGGCTACACGGTATTTTCTACAAAAAAGTGCATATTTCACACCGAATTTATTAACAACTTAGTGTTCGAAAATTTTAAATCTTTATTTTGAATCAAATTTTAATCCTTTGATCGCAGGCGTATGTTCACATTTTTTTTTTTATTTGGGATACGCGTGTGGACACAATAACCCAAAATCATTGGAGAAATAACCGAACCATAGCCAACAAAAGACCGTTTGCTTGTTCAAATTTCGATTATAAGAACAAAATGCTTTAAATAAACAAAAAATTAATAATAAAAGTTGAAGGATTTTAGATATTGGATATGGTAGCACAAAATGTCACAATCTGCTTAATTGTCAGATTGTTAATATGGCGACGAAAAAGTGACAATGGAACTACCTTCTTTTTTGTATCATGGTGTACACCAAGGCGAAATTATATAAGGTGGTGTTGTTTCATCAGCTGTGAGTAGCGTTTGATTGTCAAAATTTTGAATTTCGTTAGTGAGTGAGTGAAAACGTGAGAGTGTTTGCATTTTCTGTCGCCCTTTTTCATTCGGGGAAGAATAGCTGAAATTTGACAATGGCCCGCTAAAAGCAAAAACCAAATACAAGTAATTGTTGTATTTGTTCAATCGATACCACCTTATATGTATTCGCCTTGGTGTACACTATGAAGACTATGCAAGCAAAATGTTTTGCGCACACGTTTAATACATATGTACATATTTGAATTTTTGATTAAACTAATACTTCCTGACCAAAATACCTAAAGCATGTTTATTTTGCCGTTTTTTAATGCCTTTTTTTTCTTTATTCAGCTGAATCAATCAAAAAGATGCTGGAAAACCTGCCACCAAAACGAATTTGTAAAAAAATATTTCCTGCTTTGACGAAAACTAAAAAGGCGAAATTTATTACGAAGCACAAAATATTCAGCAGCCAAGGGAGGCTAAGATCAACACGTGCAAGACAAATTTCAAAACTATCTAAGGTTAAATGCAAATTCTCAAACAAATCAACTAAAAATAAAAAAGTATTACATCATAAAGCGGAGAAGATGCTTTCAAAAAACAAGACAAAAAAGTTAACCTTAGCTACTTTTTCAAATAATGTAGAAAGAGATAATGGCCGAAATTTTAAGAATCTAAACGACAAATTAGTTCCAGCTGGTACAACATCGGGCAACACTTTTTGTAGTATTACTAATGTAGGAGCAGACATAGGTAAATGTGGAACTCCGTCGTTGCCTTCAAAAGAGCCTTCGACTGCTGTGGAATGTGCGGCTGAAATAATAATCTCTGCTCCCGAACACGGAAATTTCTTAACCGAAAGTCGAGTTTGTGACAGCTTACGTTCAAACAAATCGGGACAACAAACAGATTTACAAAAACAGACGGCTTTATGTGCATCAGGAAATAATGAACTCAAAAAACAACTCGCAATATATCGACACCGCAACTTGCAGTAAGAAAAGAAGTAAGAAAATTAATGACTGCATTGCAATGCTCACTGGGAAATTGGAAGAAAAACTAAAGACTGAACAAAATTCGTTTAACAAGGATGAGCCATACATGGAAACAGATATAAATAATGAGCACAAAAGCAAATCAAGCGCGGAAATAAAACCACCTAAAAGGAAAACGGTATCACGAAAGATTATTAAAATGGACAATGCGACACCCCAGCCGACGGTAGCTAAAGTTCAAACAGCACTAGAATCTTTAACTAGAACTCCATCAAATATTCCGAAATTACCAAACGCACCGGTCGTTGCAAACGCACCACTTGAAAAACTGATACCACTTTCAACTTCCTCTAGTACAATAACTGCTTCAAAACTAAGTGTTCAGACTAATGCAAATGTGAATTACCTTAATAAGAACACTAATATTAACTTGTCACAGGAAAATACAAAATGCCCCCTGCTAAATAAGCAAACACCATTAATAACAGCAAATATAGATCCGATTGCATCAACAATAGTTCCGATTACCTTGGCTTCTTCTGATTTTGATACTGCTTTATTGATGCCAAAACCGCCCCCTGCAGTATTTGTGAATAAAATACCACCATCACTATCGAAACCCAGCGCAATGACTGAATTGGTTCCTCCTTTTCCAACGTTGCCGCTTACTCATCCGATGCAAAATATGCCAGTTAATAATATACCACCACCACCGCCTGTTTTAGCAGTATTACCACAACCACCTCTTTTACCAACTCCAGTATCTATCACTCCTTTAGTACCTGTGGCAGCTATGGCGCCTATGTCAGCCATAGTTCCAGGGGGTCCAATGACGCCTATTTTGCCTGTGGCACCATTATTCAATTCAGAACCTTTGAATTTATCCAACACGAAAAGTGTGAAGAAGCATACTCCAAACGAACTACTTTGTTTTAATCCATATCGGGGTGGCAGTGGCATACCGGTAAGAAGACAAACAATTTGTGGTTTTGAGGCAAGAAATTTCATTCTGGAAGACGAACCATTGGACCTCTCCAAAAAATCGGGCAAAGATCAAACACAGGATGCATCTGCTGTAATGACGTTAACACCTCTTATAAAACCTATTGAGACGCATTCCATAACTCCAGTAGGCATTAACATGACTATGGCTCCACCTAATGATGCTGTTTTAAACAAGCAATTTTATTCTAATCTGGAACTTTTAAAAATACCACAAATACGAAATCCTGGAAATACGACTACCACAGAAACGGTTTTGGTGAATCCCACTCCTAAATGCTCTTCCAGAAAAAGGAATTCAAGCAAAAACACCAACGAAAATGCTTCGAAGCCAGTAACCACAAATAGCGGCAAAGGAGCTAACAAAGAATCTTCGTTGCATAAAAGGGATATTTTGGCGAAAGGAAAAACTTCTCTAAAAATGGATGAGGAAGTTATTAATCACATTGACGACGCCATAAACTCAGTAATTAATGCCGTGAAAGCAAGTCTGCCAGACAGTGATGAAAAAGACAGTGACAAAACTAATAAATTGGCTCAGAAAAGTAATCATACACATCCGATTAATCCAATACCTGCATTACATCTAAGAAATTCGACACCAGTAGAGCAACTTGTGCAAACGCAGCCAATGGCATCGCAAATGGTTTTAGCGAAATCATCATTGTCCGATGCGGTAGTTAATCTGCAAAAGACAAACGAAGAAGCAGCCGTAATCGAAAAAGATAATTCCAAAGAATCTATAGTTTTTTTACCTCAAAAACGTTATGTGCGATCAAAAACTTTAGATTGTCGTCCAAACGTACTAGCAACGATGCCAGAAATAGTGTTAGATAGTTTGCACACAACCACAACGTTAACTACATCTAAAAACTCTGAATCTTCTCCAAATATTGAAAATTCGTCACAATGTAAAATGAAATCCAGTGTCGGTGACACCCCACTTCCAGGGTGCGAAACAATATCATGTCAGAAAACTTGTACCGACTTAAGTGTTTCCAATGAAACGCAAATAATTGATAAAGAACCCTTAAGTTTTTCAACTGAGCCCAATAAAGAAGTAAATAATTGCGTTTCACCTACAGTTGGGATTTTCAACGATATAAATCCTAATCTCATAACTGAGGAAAATATGAGCAACATAAATAATACCTCATCTGGTTTCCACAGCTGCGGCCAAGTAGAAAATACCATCGAGGCCAAAAAGAAACAGAGACGTCGACGTAAGAATGAGTTGGCTGCGATTGTGGCGGACCAACTTTTGGAAAGCTTCAAAATTGATAAAACACGTCGTGATAACCTCAAAAGGCTAGAAAACTTAGCTTATGAGAAAAGTGAGGATCTATTTGTAACAGGAATGCTTTTAATGTCAAGCACAAAACGAACTGTTACATCTTCTAAGAACGATCAACTAAACAACGATGTAAGTTCAAGTAAAAACATCGAGGCTGCAGGTCGGCAGAAGCAAGATCAAAGCAAACCGAAAACAAGCAAAGCCCGACTAAAACAAAATATTACCTGTAACAAATCTACTCAAGTTGTAGATGAAGTGACACCATCTATAAGTACAAACAATGAACCCAGTGAGAAAACCAAAGAAAAAGATGTCACCATCAAAAGAAATAAAAAACGCAATTATCGTGGCAAAGGAAAACCGTTAGATAATGAGAATATAAGTAAGCTTAAGTCGTCACTTGAATCATTTTCCATAGGCATAGAAAAACAACTAACAGAGTTAGAAGCCAGGAATTCGGCTCCCATAAACGTTTCTGAAACAAAATCTCATTTACCGGCTGCTGCTAGATCATCGCTTTTAAGGCCAAGCATCCTATCTGCTAATACTGAAACTAACATTAATAATCAAATAGCACCAACTGTAGAAACCAAAAGCGTTGTTTCCAGTCGCGATCCGCGACTTAATAAGAATATACACAAAAACGAAAATAATGAAAATTCGGAAGCATGTGACAGGGAAAAGAATATGGAAGAAATATGTGATGTTGAAGAAGACAATTATCTCACAGAAATAGCTAAAAACGTGAATGAAAAGATCATGTCTGCTGAGAACGAAGAATTCATGTTTATTAATGATGGGTTTGAATTAGCCAATGAATTGCAAGACGATTCGAATAGTAAGTTTTATAGTCGGCCGCCAACGTCCATGAGTGTTAGAAGTGCTCCCAACTTTAACGACGATCGTTCAAATTTTGGATCTATTTGCGATGAAAATACAAATACAGAAGTGATGGACATGGATTTAGAAGATGAACTTAGCGTGTATACCAGTTATTCACAAGACGTAGGAAGAGGACGGAGCAGAAGAAGACGTCGGAGAAGAAGCATTTTACTGAAACGGAGACCAAAAAAACGTGTCAATCATGACTCTACTGCGGAGAAATTTGAGTGTACTTTGTGTAAAAAAGTTTTTTATACTCTACATTCTTTAACAAAACACAATATGACATTAGCTCATGTATCAAAATTATCTGCACAAGAATACCTGCTATCAAAAAGCTTGGAGAACACTCCGCCAATAATATGTAAAGCCGTGGCTGATAATGATCTGAAAACGAATATCTCAGCTGAATGCATTGCTTCAAAAAAATCAGAGGACGGCAATGAAATGCAACGATTAACTGAGAGAAAGGGAAACGATGTCACTGATATACAATATAATAATTTAGAACGAGTTGATGCTGTTGATGGTAGCGAAAGACGAGAGCTAAATGACGGCGGCAAAGTTAAAATACCTTTTAACAACACGTCACGCTTAAATCTCAATCCAGATGAGAGGTTATTTTTCGAATGTTGTAACATATTAAAAGGCGCGGAGACTGCCTGTGTCAATAATGATAAGAACGGCCGAGGAGCTTTTGAATATAACTTCAAAGAAAAATCCGAAATATGTTCAGTCCAAGGCAGCATTTTCAAATCGTTGAGGCCTGAAATACTCAAAAAACAAATCACATTGGAACGAGTTAGTTGCAAATCCGCTGCCTCTCAACAAGAATTCAGAAGTCCCCCCGCACTTCAGTCAAACACTGCAACTAAAGGAGTTCCTACTATTGCTGTTCGAGATCAGTAAGTATTAAACCTAGTAAAAAACCGTTGCTGGAGCGCGCTTAACCATTTTTTAACGTATTACGCGGTTATTCAGTCAAGTTAAAATCATACATACTTGGAACTTCACTTACTTATTTTGACATTCTAGATCCAAATTCAATAAGAAATCGCACGTAGCTTTTTGTTTTTGCTCTGGTGCTATCACCTGTTCAATGTGCTTTGGGAGCAAAACGTACCTATTCCTCTATTTTACAAGCTTTTATTTAACTTGCTCTGTATGCAAGTATGTACAAATGTATGTACAGTGACGGGCAAAACTGTAACATGGTGTAACACTTTTTACTTCAGCCATCGCTATCTTTCCAAGTTCTAACGACTTCCATACTCTTGTTGTATATTCTTGTTGGTACATCCCTACTCCCTCTCTCATAATGATTTGAAGTCAATGCAACAACAATAAAAAGACCAGCAGACAAAAATGTAAATTAAGGCAGATGTTACAGTTTTGCACTCATATATTTTTAAGAACTTTTTAACAATTTTCACGAAAAAAAGAACTACTAACACAATGTTCAGTACTATTTTACTTGTTTCAGTTCCTGGATGCGATTTGGCATACCTTATTTGTATCTTTGTAAAAATTCTGGAGGTATATCCTTAGTTTGCTTTCACAGCTCATGTACTCGATTTTACGGACTTTGATACTAATTAAGCTGTGCTTTTAGTTGATTTCGCAAATTTTCTTTGAGATTCATGTACGCGGATTGTGGAGGTCATTTCAAATTAGCAAATTTTTGCTTTTGTATCCAGGCTTTGCGAAGATATGTAGTGTGTTTTGAGTGATTTTTCAGCAGAAACTCTATTTTTTTTACTAAATCTTGCAAATTTTGTTGAAATATGAACAGATACTGTTCCTTACGTATTATGCGTACTAACGGACCAACAAAATTTTTTAAATACAACCCCAAACAATTAAGATCCTACCACTGTGATTTACAGTTTGCCTTACATGATGCGCATGGGCTTAATTTGGGTCTTTGATCCAATACCATGCCCGGCGATCTGATTGAAAGCGATTAATTTAGTCTTGTCAGACCAAATAACCTTCTATTGAAACTGAAAAATATGTTTTTTATTGCACTCTGAACGGCCTAACATATCCCAATAGGCAACGGTCCGGGTTTCGTGCGATGCAGCGAAACGCTGCCACACTCGCACATGTATTATGATCAAATTTGTTTTTTTCTTCTTTATGATGCCTTTGCGCTCAATTTGGCAATTCTTCGCCTCGCTGTCTATTGATTTGCATTAAAGTTTAATACCTTAAGCGCTTCTGTAATAGTGGCTGCATCGCTACTTGCTGCTAAGTTCACAAGATATCGTACCGTAATATTTTTTAACAGACTTCCTTTGTCCTTGGGAATACTTTAGGCTATATTTTTTCTCAGTATTAACATTTTCAAGTAGCAAATTCCAAAATTGTTTGCCACTTTTCGTGCGGTTCCGCCTTTCCGCAGTAAATCTATTATTTACATTTATGGTTCCTGATTAACTATGTTATTTACTGGCGATCACTTCTTCAATAAATTACAATATAGAAAAAAAGTCATCTGACTTCCAACTACGTAAGAGATAACTGTCAAATGCAAAACTGAGAGTGAGTGCAAAACTGTAACATCTGCCTTAATTTACATTTTTGTCTACTGATTTTTTTTATTGTTGTTGCATTGACTTCAAATTATTATGAGAGAGGGAGTAGGGATGTACCAACAAGAATATACAACAAAAGTATGAAAGTCGTTAGAACTTGGAAAGATAGCGATGGCTGAAATAAAAAGTGTTACACCATGTTACAGTTTTGCCCGTCACTGTACATACATATGTTTGTTTGGGGCAAATCTTGCAATAAATTTTTGACCCACTTCCCGATGATCTAGCTACTTGAAACTTCATAGTTCAGTCAGAACCCGATGACAATGCAATATGAAAGATGAATTAATCCGATAGGTGGCGCAGGAGTCGATATGTTTGGTAAACCAGTATTTATGGTCCGATTTCGCTCAAGCTTGCTTTAAAAATATTTGCTTTTACTATTAACTTATTTTGTATAGCAACAGAACGCTTGGTTGACAGCTAGTTCCAAAAAAGATTTTAAATGCTTACTTTTATTCTTACAACCCGATTCTGTCATATATGTAATACTCCTATATTGGCAGTAAGAGCTAGTACCGTCCGAAAACACTACAGTACAGATATATCAATAAACACGTTCGAAAGAAAAGGAACACATTCGTTTATAAATAAACATGTACACAACACACACCCAAAAACGGCACTCACGTACACAATACATTGACAAAAACGGTACTAGACTGTCTCGCTTTGATTTCGAAATGCTTACACATTGAGATGCTAGCTTACTGCCAATATAGAAGTATTACATATATGGATTCTGTGCACTTGATAAATACAACAATTTTATAATTTGTCAATTTTTTATTATTTATTAAGGATTGGAATTCAAGCATAGAAATCAAAAGCTCTTTTCTTGATAAATTATCAACATTGAAAATGCTATTGACAAGCGTTTACCAATTGAAATTTCATATGAATCTTATTAATTTTGCACATTAAAAAATTTGTTTCTATCATTTAAATACTACATGTGCCGGCCATATATGAGCGGTTATAAATGAAAGTGGTGTAAGTCCACTTTTGGAAAAAAATGAGTTGATTACTGTTTTAGTTAGGTATAGACACCATCTTTTTATGTATATTAAATTAAATTCAATGGTGCAAAATTTATCAAAAAAATAATCAAAACAAATTTACTTTACAATCTTATCGCAGAAATATTTTTTTTAAAGTGGTTTAAGTCCATTCGTAATGATCATAATTGAAACAACATTTTAATGGCTATTATTATTGATTGTTACGATTGTGCAGATATTTGGCAAATATTTATGGCGATTGTAGGAATCTTTAAAACCAAAAGTGTAAACAGGGTAACTGATGTCAAAGTAATGTTTGTTTTGTTCGCAATTCCTATTATTTGGTGTTCCTCTACTATTATAAAAGCAATGAATGTTTACATACGTAAATAATATTTCATATAATGAATACATCAATTTGTTCGTACTGTGATAGTGGTAAGTAAGATTAACATTGAGTTACGGCGGAAAAGTTGTAACTTTCATATTTAGTAAAACCAATATCCGGAGTGAACTTAGATTTAACTTTTTTATTACAGAAATAAGACCAGTTCGTATACGAAAAAGAAATCAACTCTTTGATTCCGATGATGAGAGCTTTTCGAGCAATGATAATTCGAGATTGCCAACTAAAAAGGGGCATAGAATTTTGAAGTTAACAGACTCAACAATGGGCAGAAAGTTAGGAAAGTCAAAACAAATAAAGCCGATAAATATTATACCAAAAGTGGAAAAGTTATCCCCGCAAAGAAATTTCGAAATAAAAATTGCAAATGTGCGAAAGTGTTCAAGAATCGCATTTCAGAGGTAAAGGGAAAATCCCTCTTTCATTTATTTTGGCAAATGGGGAGTTTCGAGCAACAGAACACGTTTTTAAATGCATCTACGCAGCGTACGACAGTAAATTGGTTGCAAATTTGCTGGATGAGAATCAGATAAGACGAGCCTCACAAAATTTTTTTATAAAACTACTATGGGACCAGGCGCTCCATTTAAAGCAATTTTTCTATTTGGGAAAAGGGGAAGACCGAAATATCTTAGCAAGATTACTATGTTGAAGACCTGTTACAAAGGAGAAATACACAGGCATGATGAGTTTACTTCCTTTCATACCGCCTATTCTTCACTAGTCTAACTGTAAATTAGACATGCCAATAAAGCCTTACTTGCATTTTTTTACTTTGGAATTAAATGATCAGAAATATAAATTTTACGTTCATTTGACATAATAATCACAATCTTTTCTTATTTATTATTTGTTTTAGTTATTTCTTGAATACTTGTTTTAGTTATTTTTTTCTTAAGTATAAAAATAAATAAATAAAAAATGATTTTTTAACAAATAAAATTTCCATAAAGGGTGTTAACACATGGACTTATACTTTTCCTTATTTTTTATTTTAGAATTTGTTATTTTTGAGAGTGGTGCAAGTCCATTACGGGGTTAAAAACTATGTTAGTTTCGTTAGCAACGTTAATATTAATTATTGCATAATAAAATTTGGTCTCATAGCACTTAAAGAAACATCACCCGGAGTATTAAACTTTACCAAAATTTTTAAAATTAATCAAATGCAAACTTTTAAATATCTCGATTTATGCAACTTTCACCACTTTCATTTATAACAGCTCATATGTAATACTTCTATATTGGCAGTATCTACAAGTGCAGTCAGCAAACATTACAGTATTGTAGCTCGTTTCTCTAAGCCTTCCCTAACGATTATTTCTCTACTGGTAGATAATTTACGTGTATCTATTACTCATTAGCAGTGTTGCCATTTTAGCCGTTTTCCGGCTAGATTTAGCCGGTTGCGATAGCAAACAGCCGGAGAAATTTCGGTTTAGCCCGCAGCCGATTTGTTAGACGTTTTGCAAAAACTAGTAATTTTTAGCAAAAAAAAAAACCGACTTCAACTCCCATATAAAAAAAAAAATATATATATATATATCTCATGATCCGCTGATCGGATCTTAACCAGATTAGTATGGGACCACTGATAACCTCCTCCTTTTTTGGAAGTCGGTTAAAAAATAGCCGTTTTTAGCCGATTTTGCTATTTGCCTTGTTTTCTTAAAAGTCAAATATATACATATGTTTCCATTTTTAACTAAGCGACCCAAAATCTGTTAGAAATGGCTACTAGCCTTATCGCGGAGAAAATTTTCATGTCAGGCAGGGTTATATAAAATTTGGCCGATTTCACTTATTTTTATTTTAAACGAATATATTTTTTCTAAAGAAGGCCGTAGCGGGGATTTTCTTCATAAAATGTTTGTTATGAATGTCTTAAATTTAAGTGCGAAGAAACATCATTGTTGCCCAAGCTTAAAGGTTGAAGGTAAGGGAAAAATTGATATGTCTTTGCAAGCACTATGTACACATACATA